TTGGCAAGTGCAAAGTCTTGAGTTCAACTACTGGAAAAAAAAAAAAAAAAAAAAAAAAAAAAAAGTTCTGGGAAAGTAGAACATGCTGAGGAAAGAGGATAGGTAGTGTGGTCCAACTTATGCTGCAAACAGAGTGTTTCTGAATCACGTGTTAGCAGGACAGAGCACAGTTTCATTAAGTCAAGAATACTGGACAGGGCTTACCTCTGTGTATGTCTGCCTGGGAGACAAGGCAAGCAGGGCTGGAGTTGTTTCTTCTGTTTTTATCATCTGCTTAAAAACTAATGGGAGAAAAGTCAGTGGAAATAGGGGAAGAGAGAGAGAAGATAGAAATCCCTCTTGCTACTTTACCTTGATTAACCGCGGGGCTGGGGTGGGGGTATCTGTCATTTTCAGGAAATAGTGCGGACCTTCGGCTGGTAAAGACTTTCATAGAACTGGGGCTTCCTGGAGGGAAACTGGACTTCCTAATGTCTGAAAAGAATCAGGTATGACAAAGCCAAAAAATCCTCAGGCTTGAATGAAAACAGGAAGCGAGCTCTGAGAAAGCCCTGAGAGCAACATGATGATTTGTGGAGACTGGAGGGGATCTTGCAGAACAATGCTGACAAGGCACTTGGAAAATTTAGAGAACAAACATATTGTTTTCCTTTCACAGGGTGAGGAAAAAGTAAGAAATGAGAACAAATGAACCATCTGGCTGAAGCCTTTTAAACTGACAGAGAATTAGGGTAGAAGTGATCTTTGACACATCCATCATTTGGGGATCTGTGGATCCATGCTGAGGGCAGGGCATTGCCACTTGGATCTATATAACCAAAGAAATAGAAAGATGACTGCTTTGTAGTCAGGGGTAACCGTGGGAACCTTTACCATTCAAAGGTAGATAGAGCCTGGGGTGCTACTCAGGTGTCAAGGTCAGTAGGACTTTAGTGACTTAGGCGTGTTGCTGTAGATTTTCACCCTCATGAAACTGAGACAGATGAATCCTGAGTATCATTTGAAGGAATAGAACTGTTTATAAACAAAGGAACCCATTGACAATTGGAAACAGCAGTTGTACAGAGAGTCATGGACCCTGGAAGGTAATGTCTCCATTTGAACTGTTAGTGTTCATTTGCGTTGCCTGCTCTTTGACACTTCCCACAACTGAAGGCCTACAGCAGCTCCAGCAGGGTGCAGAAAAGTGTAATATCAAAATAGTAAAGAGAATCTTTATATCAGCACCTACTCTGTGCAGGACACTCTATTCCTGTCTCTCCATTTCATATTCAAAACTGTTCTATTACCTGTTGATGCCCCCATCACTTTACAGAAGAAAGAGTGGGGAGACTCTGGAATTTAAGTAGGGTTCCATTGTCAGTCTGACCTGGAGATGAAGCAAGAGGGACCCAGTCCTAAGAGAGGTTTCCCAGAGACTTCACAGGAAAGAGCAGGGAATTGAATGACTAATATTTGCTGACTTGATTTCTCCAAGTGAGGATCTTTTTCAAGGAAAATGAGTACAGTTAGTTAGAGGGTCTTGGCCAGTTAATAGTCTTCCCCTGGGCCCATCCAACCATTCTAGTTGTTGTCTCCTGACAACTAGGCCCAGCTTGAATTCCAAAGAAACTTTAGGCCTGGATTTCTGTTACAAGGCCATTAACTACAAGGGTTGGCCACTCAGCATTGACTATATTTGTTCTGTGTTGTGTTGAAAATCTCATAAGCAGGTCCATTTGTAATATTCCTTTTAAACACTTGCTTGGGAATTCCTCATTTTTTTCCCACCATAGCCAACTCGGGCTTCATAATTACAACCATTATTCAAATAATGCATTCAATTAATAATTGACCGATGAGGAAATGGGCCCTGAAAGGCAGAGGATAATGGCTACAGCACCGTCTGTCTTAGGAAGGTTATGTTTGTTTTAATCAATTCAAGAGTAAGTTGCAGTCATCCTGTTTAAGAGATAAGATTTTGGTTCAGACTGGGGGAGCCACAGATTCAATTCAAAATCCCATGGAGAAAGAAGCTGCAAATAGGGATCCTTTTCATCCGTGGAGTCTATGTGACCTATTGGTGTTTGTGTTCCTCCTGCCCTCTCCTTGTTACTGAATGGCAGGCAACAGGAACCTAAAAGCCTTCTCCTTTCTACCACTTTTTCTAAATGTGCTCTTTTTATGACAGTCTGATGAATATTCATAGGATCTCTTGTTCATATTTCTTAATGCTCAGCATAGGTACAGGCAGTACAGAACATTGTTACTGGGCTCCAAGTCTGGGAGAAGTTTTATTTATAAATATTGATCCTAAATCTACTTATTTGTGCTTCCACCCATATTTTCAAATGTTAGCCTTTAAAGTTGCTTAGTTTGTCTGACTCATGGCTATTTTCCAAGTAATCAAGTCTTGTACAGTATTTCTCTTCTTCCTTTAATGCTGCTGTGTCTTTTGACCATCCTTCCTACGTCATGATGGCTTTTACTATCTTTGCCAAAGATGATCCCTGCCCTTTGGACATAACCTTGTAGCATAGCCCAAAGGCTGAGCAGGCTAAAGGCAGGGGCTTTGGAATCAAGCTTGTGTGGTGTAAACCCCAGCACATGTGAAATGAGTAAGTGGACTCCCATATCAGAGCCTATTTCCTTCTCTGTGAAGTGAGTACAGCAGAACCAATGGACATTGATGAGACACTGTGCATGAGAAGTGATTGCAGGCACCATATGCATTGGACTCTACACCAGCTCTTCTACCTCACCCTCCCAGCTCAAAGCTTCTCAACTGCACCATATTTCTTTATTAGAGCACCAGTCTATGGACCTTTTGCTCTGAGGTCAAATCTCAGCCTATAATGCCAAAGTTAGGCTTAGACCCACTACCAGAATGCTCCACGATGGTCAACAGAATCTGATAGTTTGTGCACAAAGTGTGCCTCGGGTAGAGTCTCTCCCAACACCCTTTCCTCTCTCTTCTTCCAGATGGACACATTTGCTGATTTTGATACCATGACGGATCGGTTATTAGATGAAATCATTCAACACATTCAGTTGTACAACCTCTCCATATCGCGAATTAGGTAAAAGGAAACCACAGGTAGTTAATGCTGAGGGGAGAGGAGTGACATTTTTTGAGTGTTTGTTGTACGCAACTTTAGAATAATGCCTTCTGTTAGACACTGGGATAACTTATCTTGTGACTTTTGATGTGATTTATTACTCTTAGGCAGCAGCGAGTACCAGGGATGGTTGACTCACACATCTGTCACAATATGAGTGTAGAGAATAAATATTTTGTTACTCCACAAAAAGAGTATTGTAACTAAAACAAAAATCACTAGGTTTAAATTTCTGTTCTGATATAAATTTGAATCTTGACTGTAGGTATCATGTACCTTGTGTGTAACTTTTTGGAAGTTCTCTTTATCTCTGAGCCTGTATTATCTATTAATAGAATTAGCACTAAGGAGATATGTCCAATGAGAGAGCTTTAACCAGTGCTAAGTACATCCTCACTCTGTGATGAAAACTCTGGTCTACCTGTTTTAATAACTAAGGTCGTAGGACATAGCTTACACTATTGAGCATATAGCTATAAGGTTAAGCCCTCAATATGCATTATCATATTTAGTCTTCAGAAATAGCCTATCACTTTTTTATTTTACTGCTGAAGATTTTAAAATGTACCAAATAATGCACCTATAAAGGTTTGGTAACAATGAAAGGACAAAAGGTAGGCCTTGCAATTTCATAAACTAACACATTTCTTTTCTTTGCTAGTTTTATTCTCATCATGAGAAAGGGTGCCAAGTTATACATCTCATTTAATACGGTTTCAATAACAAGTAGTTTAGTTGGAAAGCAAGAATGTATTGAGTCCATGTTTCTGTGAGTACCAGTTTGGCTTCGGCAGACCACATAGCAGGGGTTTCAAACACAGTTAATGTGTTTAATAACAACTCAATGATATAGATACTGAACAGAGAACAGGCAGCTCAATAATTGTGTAGGTTAATGAGACAATGAACATAGCTGAAGAGAGAGTCCTCGGTCGGGTTATGAATGGCCTTGTAGACCAGGCTAAGAAGCTGAGATGTTATCTTGTAAACGGCCAGGTGCGGTCAGTACTCAGATATGTGTTTTGAAAAGGAGTCTCCTGACAGTCATGCAGACGGAGAGGAGGCAGGCGTGGGGACCAGTCCAGCGGGGAGGCTGCTCTGATAATACAGAGCCGGGCAGATACCCATGCTTCTGATCGGCCACACCAGCACAGTTGGCATTCATTCACAAGGGCCCCACTTTCTGAATGTGGCCAGATTTTGGAGAGCAGAGGAGGAGGAACTGGTAGCATTTGTTCTCTTTGTCAGCTCCCTGAACCCAATGGGTTCCTGCAGCCAGCCTTTGCTGTCACACTCATGCACACTCTCTCTGTCTCATATAGCTTCATCGGCCACTCTCTGGGCAACATTATCATCCGGTCAGTCCTCACAAGGCCCCGGTTCCGGTATTACCTCAACAAGCTCCACACGTTCCTATCACTGTCCGGGCCTCACTTGGGCACACTGTACAGCAACAGCACCCTCGTTAGTACAGGTGAGATTCCTCCAACCCATCATGCCTCAAGCTTAACGTGGGATTCAAGACTGGAAACTGGGGGCAGAAGTTCTTCTCCATGGAAATCTGTGACTTTGGAGCCTCTTGCAAGCATGGGGTGGTGGAGAGAGATCTGAGCTGAGAAATAGGGCTCTTCCATTTGGGAGTTGAAGGAGGTTAAGCAGATATTTTCCACCATTATATCTACCTTAAAACTTTCATGAAGAAAAAAATTGATATGCTTGAGGTTCTGACTAGAAGAAGCTAACTAACCTTTAGGAAAGTTCCAAGGCCATTTAAGTAGGATAGATTCTACTTAGTTAACTTGTTGTAAAATAAAGATCATGTGTGAGTGTATGAGATGTGATCACAAAATAGAGTGCACAACGTGGATGAGAACATAACATCTTCACATAAATCATCATGAATATTTTGAATCTATTCAGAACACAGAGGCAACCATGAGACCACTTCTGAAAAAAGACTTCCAGAACTGCTTCAGAAAGTATCAAGAAGGATGGGTTAATTTTTTGTTTGTTTGTTTTTGTTTTGCTTCCTGTACCAGGAATTGAACTCACGACCTTGTGCTTGCCAGGCAGGCGCTGGGCCGCTGAGCTAAATCCCCAGCCCAGGATGGGTTAATTTTGTTTGAAACAAGGAGAGGTATTCTGAGGGAGATTAATAGCAGTGTCTTTTAATATAATACAGTTTAAAAGCACTTTCAATACAATATTTTGTGGATATACTTTGTATGTTTTATATAGTGTACATTTATGAGACATGTACATATATTTGTATACATATGCATAAACATGCATATGATATGGGTGTGCATATACTCATCCCTCAGAATCTGTCAAATGTTAGGTCTGGGACCCTCCACAGATACCAACAGGCATGGATGCTCAAGTTCCTTGGGTAAAATAGTGTAATATTTTCATACAACCTATACACATCCTTCTGCATACTCCGAGTCATCTCTGAAGTACTTATAATCCCTATGACAACGTGGATACTATACAAATAATTGTTTTACTCTATTGTTAAGGGGGAACTATGACAAGAAAAAATAGTCTAACCATGTTCATTACAGATACAGCTTTCCATAACATAGTCTGATCCCACTGGTTCAATCTGAAGATGCATAAACCGCACTTACAGATGGCTGAATCTGTGTTTTGTGTGTGTGTGCCTGTGTGGGTATACATATCATTGAGTTCTTATTAAACAGAAGGAATCAACAAAGAAGTTAACCATAGTGTATAGATAGTCAAGTACAGGTGAATACGATGATGCTTGCTTTGCTTCAGCTTTGAGGCTACCACAATTTCATCCGTGCTCTAAGGAAGAGGGATCATAATAATAAGGAACCAAAGTTCAACGTATTTCGGAAAAAGTAAGTACATAGCAGGAAGAGTTTCCTATGCAGAAGTAGAGATATATGGAGTAAAACTGGAGCATAGTATAATCAGCACACTGCAGGCAACTCTTTGCAACAGAAATGCAACATGCTCAGCAGGAGCAGAAGATGGTGGATGAAGGACACAGCTAGAGCCAGATGAGAGATCTTGCAAGATATGACAATGTGTTAGCCTTCCACATGATGTTTCCAATGTGGCTTAAACTGAGGAAGTGGCACGACTTGGGGTTTGGAAGCTGATATAGTTCATTGGGTCTTACAGAACAGTAAATGGTATGTTAAAATATGTTCCTAATCCAAATCCATCAAGTAATAGGACAGACAGCTCTAACGAGCTATCCTCTCTGCCCATCTTTCAGTCACTGGCCCTGCTTGCCTGGATGGTTTGTACACTTATATGGGTTCCTAGAGATGTGGGGCAGGTGCATTTTTGCATGGAAGTTTTTCTAAGGATGTTGTGAATATAAGTGTGTTGGTGGTATGATACTTAACAAATACAAGTTTTTTCCTCCATTATTCTGACTTTTCTCACAAACTCATGAAGACAGCTTTGGACAGAAACATGTGAATTAAATTACTTTTCCCCACAATAATAATCATGAAACATTACAAAAAGTTAGAACAGGAGGTGTTACCAGTGCTTTCTCCACTTAGAGAACCCATTCCACTTATATTTCTACACATATTTATAGGGCAGTCATATATATATATATATATATGACTGCCCTATAAATTCAGCATATATATATATATATATATATATATATGCTGAATTTTATTTACTGCCTCATGTTTTATCAAATTCACTTGTTTGATATTGTGGCAGTCCTCACTGTCATCAAGTTAGTGTCTGCATAAGCAGAGCTGAATGGGTTGGCTTGGGAATGTTTACTTTAGTTCCCTAGTATCCTAAATGGACCTGTAAGGAACGTTTTATATATTTGCACATCAGGGACTTTCTTCTGGCTTTCTTTCAGGAGATTGAATGAATCAAAGGATACTTATGGTTTTGGGATTCCGAAAGCCCATTTCCCTCATTTTGCAGGATGATTTAATGGCCACAAATATGAGAAGATACAAACCCCTACCTTCCCAGCTATTTGCATCAAATTCACTCTTCTTATTAACTAAACACGTCCCTCTTTTGTTTTTGTGTTGATGCACATTTTCTCAGTTGTGTTTTGTTTTGCCCCCCTAGGCCTGTGGCTCATGCAGAAATTAAAGAAATCTGGGTCCCTTTTGCAGCTGACCTTCAGGGATAATGCTGATTTGCGCAAGTGTTTCCTCTACCAACTAAGCCAAAAAACAGGTGAGTGGTTCCACCTGCAGCTGTGCTTGCGATTTTGAGCTCCAGACTCAACTCCTAAAGCACAAATTATCTTTAGTCCTATGTTGATCCACTCATGTGAGGTAAGGGAAGCCTGGCAAGCAGTCTCCTCAGTCTATTAAGATTCCAGCAGCCTCCAGGAATTCAGCATCTCTTGGCCCACATAGCACATGAGAGATGAAAGCCAGGATGTGTGAAGGGTCACTCTGACCCACAGAAACTGCAGTTTCTACTTCCCAATAGTCTTTTAGTGCTCTAGTCACATAGGGCCAGGATCTGTGTGCCATCCTCACCAGGTACAGATTGACCTACACAAAGGCTGGATGACACAGCCCTGTAGGTTGACTGTGTGGTGGGGTCGGATCCTTCTTACACAGGCCTAACCTTGCCCATCATTCTGCAATGAGGAATGCAGACAGAAGACCCCACCTGCACCAGGGGTATGATCACAGAGCCCAGTGCCCATCATGACCCAGTGATCTCTATGCCCAGTACAGGATTAGAACTACCAATTTAATGGCCTGCTCAGTCCTGCTAAGCAAGCCAGCCTGGTCCAGAGTTAGTCCACTGGCTCATAGCCCTCCATGATTCTGTAAACACTTCTAACAAGTTAGCACTTTCAGCAATGAGTGAACATGGCAAAACTACAGGCTGCCATATGACACTGGGCAGTCCCTCTCCTGCTGTGGGCCTCTGTGTGTTAGGTTGAAGGCTCAGAGTTGCCTCTTGGTGTGGGAGAAGGTAGGGCAGGATTGCACAGAGAGGAATGTGGACCGCAGTGTGATCATCCCAGAGGCCTTAGTTTATGCAGCATGGAGTTAGGAGATGAGGCAGCCCTACAGGGCTATCCTGAAATGGCATGAGGGGTCAGCTATATCCTACCTAGCCCCTTATCAGCCAGCCATTGGTGCAAGCTGTCTTCTAGTGTGTGATCTTAAAATGTGACCTTTGATGTAGGTGGGGGCTCACCACAGCAAAGGGTCACCTAAGTGAATGCTGTCAATCCTGCTTCTGCCCAGCAGTATCTGGGGGCTCTGTCTTGAGGCCGGAGCTGGGTGGTCACACGCACCCAGGTCCAGAGCTCGTCATGGGCTCTCAGGCCTCCAGAACAATGTTGCAGGTGTTCAGCTTGGAAAATCCCTCTGTGTCATACATATCTGAGTACTCTTGGCCCATAATATGGTTATTTTGTTCTCTCTTCTGCCCTCCTTCTTCTCACAAAGTGTCCCCTTTCCTCCCCTCCCCCCTTCTTTCCTCTCCAAAAGGGTGATAAAAATATATGGTGAGCATTTAAGTAGAAAACAATTATTACAATAAAGCACATTGCCATTAATGCCCCTTAAAATACTCTCCCTTTGAACACACTTATTCTATCACTCTTGACATTTCCAGAAGCAGTTCTGGAAGTCCTTTGCTGTGTCTTTATGAGGAGTGATTAAAAAACATAGCAAATGCTGCTACCAAGTTCTATCCCATGGAAAGATAGGCTGATAAAAGCATTACTGTGTGTCCTCATCAACTGTCTTCACTGGACCTGCACCCTGCCACTTCTGACTCATCAGCACAGTCAAAATGACCACAAAAGAGAAACATTTTGCATCAGTTTGGGACAATGAGGCAGCCACAACAGCGTAACTAAAGATAGGAAAGAGGCCTCAGGATGTGACAAGAACTATAGGATAAACGTGTTTGAAAGGAGCAGGAGTATTTTGATGTGGATTAAGAGCAGTGCATCTTTTACTATAATCTTTTTCTTTGAAAAATTTAAGCATTCACTGTAGTGGTCAATCATACCTTATACTTCTTTCTCTCACTAGCTTGCTGTGTCTCCTTATCTTCCCAGAGTGATGAGAAGCAAGACTTCTTTCCCCTCTCTAGTGCCAGGGCTATAGAATAGAGCCTCTGTGCTCTCCTTCTCACAAGCACCTGCTAGCCTCTGTATGGGCTGCGCATCCTTAACCCCAAGGACCAAGGCCCCTCCACACTGACACATCAGCATCTGGCACTGCCTCACTTAGCCCTGTCTAGGGCAAGTCTGTGGCATGTGCAAAGCAAACCAGAGGGTGTTCAAGGTGATACTTCCTGGATGAGAAGCACTCACCTGGCCTCTTGTTCCAGGGCTGCAGTATTTTAAGAATGTCGTGCTGGTTGCTTCTCCGCAAGACCGCTATGTCCCATTCCACTCAGCCAGGATTGAAATGTGCAAAACTGCCCTCAAAGACAGGCACACAGGTAAGCTGCATTTCATACCTTAAAATGTCTCCTGATTTCCAAAGCCAAAATAAATCCATGACGTGGATGCTACTGACCAGGAAAAGCTGGCTTTGGGTTACACAGTGAGCATTTATCGTAGAACTGAGTGGCAAGGCAAACATAGCATATGTGTGTTCAGTGCCCCTGGAGTTATTGTCCTCATCATACATTTTTGTAATAAACAGTCACTGATTCTTCGGACCATGGAATCATCCTTCAGCTCCTTTCGTGAGCCAGCCATCTAAGCTGAAGATGGACAGAATTTGCCCTCAAGGACTCACTGCCCAGCTGAGGCATTGCGGGAGCAATAGCAGAGACAGCCCCATGGGGGAAGGGTCACGGGGGCGCGGGGAGCAGCACCAAGGTGGAAGAGGGCCTGGGCCTCAGTCAAGCAGGATGCTTGGACGTGATGGAGCTGCCTTTTAGATAGGAATTTTCCAGGCCTCTAGAATGGGGCGAAGGGCTGGCATTCCTGGTTTCCTTTTGATAAATTAGCTTATTTCTATGTCAGCCATCTTGATTTTGTTTTTAGAAAATTATACTTTTGTTGTATTTTAAGATAGTTAAGAAAAACTTGTCAAAGGTCCAAAAGTTTGGTAATAATTTATACATAGGATATTCTAAATTTCTGTGGGGATCTAGGATAGCCAACAGGAATTTTAACATATAAAAATTTTAAAAGAATATACATATATATATAATAAAAGAATATATAGAGAATTTAAATATATATACATACACACACATATATAATAGGATTGTATTTTTACTGTCACATATATGTACTGAAAAGTAAACTGAGACACATTACAAAATGATACACTTTTAGTGAAAAGCACTCATTTGTAGAATATGTGAAAAGTCAACTTTATTTCAGTTAGTATGGTCACATCATATTCTATCTCTAACACTATTCAACTTTCATGCTGCCTTCTAGCATTTTTGTATGTCATGTTGGAAGTCATAATTTTGTATATGATTCAGTTTATCATGCTGCCATATCCATTTTCCAATATTAAAATACCAGACATAATTATTTTCTAGAATTATGCTTCATTTATAGATGTATCATGTTAATAAACAATGCCCCAATTATTAGACATATCTGTTACTTTCAGAAGATTTTTTAAAAATTTGGAAGAATATGTGGTAAAAGCCTTTATTCATAGGTTTTTTTTAATCAATCTACAGTATTTCACTGAAATAGATTCTTAGTTATGCCTTAATCAAGCAAAAATATCAAAACGTTAGTGCTCTTGAAGAGTTTTGCATAACTGATCCTAAAATAAATTACATGGCAATATTTGTACTGTGTGTTTGGAAATTAATTTTATTGGTCCATTTTAGATATACATAATGCTCACATTCATTAAAGGGAGTTTGTGCCTGTGCATGATATTTCTTGATTCTTTTTTCCCTGGGCCCCTTTCATCCCATCAACCCCCCTTCCCCTCCTTATTTACAAAGGTTTGTTTTCACTTCTTTTCTTTATTTCTTTTCCCTTCTTTCCTTTCCCCTTCCCCCATCCTTTGTTCCTCTTCCCATTTGAATATTTCCTTCCTATTTCCTAGTATCTGTTATACATTTTGGTCCTTGTTTACCTTTGCAGTTTCTCCCACTAGAGAAACAATGTTATATTTAAACCTTTTTTCTGATTTATTTCATTTAAGAGTATGGGCTCTTTTTTTCCCCCTTCCTTCACTTCCCCACTCCTCCTTCCCTAGTTACCCTTTCTTCTGAACAATTTCTTCCTATTTCACAATACCTTTCATACACATTGCTCCTTATTTACACACTTGGTATCTCCTACCACAGAAATGATGTGACATTCACACACGTGTCTTTCAGAATGAGAGTATTCCTTATCACATTGTACCTCTGGTGTAAGAAACCAAAAATGTAAAGAAGACCAAAAATAAATAAATACATAAATAAGTAAATATGGTATTCCTGAGATTAACTATTAATAATATTTGCTAATAATTTTTCCACATGAAATTTCAAGTGCTGATACTCTTTCTTACATAAATTTTTATCCATTTTTGCTTTTTCCTAATTGCCCCTTGAACAGCATCATACTGTAACATCTGTGGCACTAAACAAAGGTTCAGTGAATTGAATGTCCCACTTTTGAAGGCAGATGTTATCAAACATAGTCATTGCTCATGCATCTCTGAACTTCTTGCTTGTTTGCCTTGTCTGTCTGTCTCTGTCACTGTCTCTCTCTCTCTCTCATCTTGGAGAGTAAACTCATAGCCTGTACATAGTAGGTAGGCTCTTTACCACTGGGATACATCCCAATCCTCTATGCCTACTTTCTTTCTTTGCCCTGTCCCGCATACTAGGTATTGAACCATTGAACACAGGACTTTTGTACTGAACTCTACCTCCAACTCCCATGATCTTTCAGAGACAGGGTCTCACTAGTTCTCTAAGTTTCCCGGGTCACATGGACTTGAGATCTTCCTGCGTTACTGTGGAAGATTTTTCACACAGGATGGAGGGAAGTGTGAGGAGTGCCTGGTGTGAGGCTAGTGTACTCAACAAAGAGCTGTCTCTCTCACTCTTCAAACTAGAGACACCATATTGTCTTCATAAAACTGTTCTGGGGGATTCCAAGACTATGCCACTATGCTTGACTCTTGCCTACGTTCTTATCACAGATATAAGATGAATGTGTTTATATATTTAGGAAGATTTGATGTGCAGTTTAATTCCTACTGATTTTTGCTTTTGTTTTTTTAAGCACACATATTTCTATTTCCCAAAAATTCTGAAATAAAATGCCTCCCAGTGGCATCTGTTCTTTGTATCACCTTCCAACTTATACACTACATTTCCATATAGATAATTCATTCCTATCCTTGAAGTTAATCAAGACAAAAAGGGTGCTTTATTCTTTAAAAAGTTAATTAAAGACAGGCTATATATGATTTTCAAAATTACTGAACATTTTCTCAGAATTCATGGACCTAGTAACATCTCTGCAGAAAAAATAATCTGGTTGAGAAATAACTGTGTCTTGTCTTTTGTATGTTTTTCTAAATGACCTCTGGCCTTTATCATATAAAAAATTTAAGCAAACAATTGTGTTGATGTAATAATAATATATTTGCATTTCTGTCTGTTGGCAACATTCACGTGATATTACTGATCTTATGTTGTATTTGTATGCATCATGTTAGAGGGGTACAAATCATTTAACCAGCCCTTGAAGCCTTGTTTACTTAACCATTCCTTTGATGCTGAATTTTGGCTGATCTCCATTTTCCCTCCAAATGATACTTTAGGCATAAAATTTTTATGGCATAGCAACCTTGCAGCATGGCATTACCTACTGTAAAGACCACTGTTCAAACACAGTCATGTACACTTGGTAAGAATCGTAACATTTATTTTAATGCCACACTTTTTCAACTCAGCTAACAAGACCACGACAGAGGTGTTTCACAAACAAATCCCTAATTACTTCAATTTACATTTCACCTTGCTGTACTTCAAACCATCTGTTAAGACACTGGGGAGGTGTAACGAAAAAGAAAACCCATCTTTCCTGAAATTGTAGGGAGTCCACTGCCCTCTTGGCCTTGGAAAGCAGAGCCCCAAATCATTTGCCCTGCTGCTAACTGGGAGTGAAAGGAAAGCTATGGCTGACTCCCATAGGATGGGGCATGGTATGGAAGAGTGCCCGACTTGGGGCTAGTGTATTCAGCTCTCCCTCTCACTGTGCAAACTACAGGTGCCACACTGGCTTTATGAAACACAACTTGTTATTTGGAATGAGCCCCAGATTGTTACAACTGCTGGTTACTGTCTCCCCAGTGAGTCAAAAGTAAAATATCCTAGCCCTCAGGATCATCCCGGAAGCTGTCTTTACATAATGCAAAAGTTGCCATGAGCAATGTTGCAAAAAGGCAGAATCCAAGTCAGCCAGGTGTGAATTATTGTAGACTCAGTTGCGCAAACTTAGTTCTTGGTTAATTACTCATTGTCACTGCATGGCTTTGGGGCCCTCATTGTCTGCTGCAAAACTGCAATGGAGACATTATTCCACTGGAGGCAGAGCCCATTTAGACTTTTAGTTAGAAAGATAAGACAAATCGTCATCACCAACAAAAATGTGCTACCTCCTCCTTCTCCCTGGCACTCGTTATCAAGGAAGCAATGAAATGCTGCTTGATTTGTGAAATATATAACATAGAAGTGTCTGCTTCCCATCTCCCTTGGGATGCATCCCAGCACTTGTGGCCTGCTGAAGTGGAACTTGACTCTCTGAGGTCCTCCTCCTTAGTTCCTCCTCCTCCCCAATGCCCATACTGAATGGACAGCACCCACTGAGGAACCCTCCCCGCTTCAGGCATGGCTTCTGATGCCTGGGCTTACAAAGCCACTATGTGCGATCCCCTTCTCACTGTCGAATATTGTAATTTTGTAATTTCACCTGAGAACAAGAACTTGAAGTTTATTTTTTATTTATTTCACAAATATTAGGGGGAGGCCAGAAAGTGTTCCATAATGTTCTGCCCAGGGTAGGATCCTTTCGTACATCCAGTGTTTTTCTCTAAATCCCATGGCTAACTTCTACACTGGCTTTTCATCCTTTTTCCTTCTAGGACCGGTTTATGCAGAAATGATCAACAACCTTCTGGGTCCCCTGGTGGCTGCCAAGGACTGCACTTTAATCCGACACAATGTGTTTCACGCCTTGCCTAATACTGCCAACACCCTGATTGGCCGTGCCGCGCACATCGCTGTACTGGACTCAGAACTGTTTCTAGAGAAGTTTTTCTTAGTGGCTGGACTCAACTACTTCAAGTAGTGGCTTCGAGGAGGCAGGCAGAGGGTAACTTGCCAGAAAGGTTTAAGGTTAACTGAATTCTCTACTGGAGACGGGTTTTTATACACCTCTGCTGTTCGGGGAGGAACTGACTGAGAATGTCAGGGAGGGATAGAGCTGAGGTGGAACTAGATCACAGCCCTTTTCTTTTAGGATTTAAAACAGCTGAACATATAGTGTAAAAGACAAAAAACTTGGCTTTAATTTGTCTGGCTGCCTGGGCTCTCATTCAGGATATTTTCTAGGAAAAAAAATTGGGGAAAATAAAGAAACAGAATACTTGGAATTAGTGAGCCCACCTTTTTAATCACTACAGCTCACAGAGATCACATCAACTTAGCTAGATTTGTCCTGTATCTTACTAGGTCATAGCTTTATCATTTTTTATTAAATTAAGTGCACACAAGCATTTCAGAACTCAGGTTATCCTCTGTGCAGAAGTGAAACATATTTGTATAAGTAGAGTCCTTATTAGATTCAAATGTGCCATTTGTTTAAATGAATGATAACCATTTCCACATCTTCTCTTCATGTTTTCTAAATAAGTGCAAAAGAATGAGTGGTAATCCCCAAATTATTACATAGTGGCTGTGGTGGAGGTGAGTTAAAGTTAGGAGGGGTAAGTGCAATGTTGTTAATAAATACAAGTTTGTTACAAAGAACTATGGGGAATATATCGGACTAGTTGCCACAATTTTTCCTCAACATTTTCTATGCATAGCCTGGCCCACAAATTATTTTTATGATTGCTTTACACTCTGTCTGTACTAGGGAAAACTGAGTGAGACTATATTTAGCAGAAGGGGGCATCGAGATTATGCACACATGGGTAAAATTCCTGCTGATACACTTGCAAAGAAATGCTGTGTGAGCACTGGATGCAACTGCAAAAACACTGAACCATTAATATGGCCAGCTGCTTCTCCTCTCCCTGCAAGGAGCAAGACATCCGAATGGAGGAGCACTGGATAACAACCTCAGGGGAGCTCTCGGAAGGGTGCTGGTTATCTTACCATGGAGATGTCTAATTGCCTTAGGAAAATAAAGGGCTAGGAATGGTCACCATTGACAAAAAGTGATAGAAAACGGGGAGAAAAGTGAGATCAGGTTGGAGAACAAAAGCCAGACTGAAGACTCAACCTAAACTACTGTTGGTAAGTGACTTATGGGAATACAGTGGCTTTGTGGGCCTACGCATCAGAAGCCATGCAGAAGGGAAGAAGTGTACAAAAGGATCAGGATATTTCATAAGACCCCAAAGACTGAGTACTTTGTAGAAGCTAAGGCAGGCTTAGGAATCATTTAGTTGTAGGCAAGGAATACATGAACTAGGACTGTTGGATGAATAACACAGGAGAGGAATCTTCTGGAGGTAGAAACTCCTGCTTCTTCAAAAGGTCCCACCTGCAACATGCGAACTTATCTCATCAAGCACCCTGGCCGGCTGCTCACGCCCTGCAATAAAGCCAAGTGAATCTTGGGTCCTCTGAGTGTTTTAGATTTTCACACATTAAATGCAGATCATATGGAACCCAACTTTATGAGAGAGTAGACTTGTGGGTTTCACCCAAAAAAGTGGTGGTGGGAGGCTGTTGAGGGTTTTGCAAAGGCAGATTTCCTCACTCTGGATTTTGGGTTCCTCCGTGGGTCTTTTCTGAATGTCCCTGATACCCTGGTCTTATCACATAGTTTAGCTTAATCTCCTGGTCACTTCCCTACTGGGTATTTCTCCTGAATGCTTGACTCGGTGCTGGCAGACACTCTGGCTCCTCATGAGCAGCAACGCATTCATGCTGAAGCCAGCAGACACTTGCATTTTGGTTGTGCAGCTCATGGTGGGGCGTTTTCTGGCCTAGCCACATGCTCATGCCCAGACAGGACCATAGGTTGGTGGCAACTTCTCCTTTCCAGATTTAACTGGAGCCCTGCCCTTCTGAAGGGCACATTCCGTGTTGTGTTTCCAGTTCCCATCAGCCACATGTGTCATTCCGTGGTCATTTCTAAGACCGTGTAGCCAGCGGTTATGGAGTCTGGATGAATCTGATGATCATCTCCTTTTCCAATAACCGGATCCCATTTTTACCTTCAATATGCTGTCTGGACGCAGTGAGAACTAATGGCAATAAATGTCCAGCTGCATGATGCACCTCTTTTTTATAGGGGTGTCCTGCTGTCTTTGTAAACCCTTTCTGGCCTCTGAACATCTCTTATAATCATGTAGAAAGTACATCTCTATATTGTAAATAAGAGTCCAGTGTTGCGTGTCATGCCTCATTTGAAAAGGCTTTTTTATGTCTTTCTATTGAAGTATAGATATATAATATATATATATATATATATATACATAATATATAAATATGTATATTGTAAAATGGGGACATTCTACTATTGATTATAGCAATTATTAACAAGATGCCTGCCAAAGTAATGGTGGTATAGTATGTCTTCATTCTCTGCATAATTTTTGTTTTTTGTTTTTGTGACTTGTTCTTTTCCAAAACTAGCTAGAAATAAAAGTTTGCTAATATTGAAATTATTTCAAATTGTTGTCCATGAGCCAAATAACCACAAGGAAACAGATAAGTTCCTAAGGCTGTGTTGGAGCAAAAATATACCTTGGTGGCAGGTTGACTACAGGTGGAGTGCTATAAGCCTGGGAGACAGCTGAAAGAAAAGCCTTTGTGAGTTCATTCCTACAAGTCATAGAGTTTGCTGTGTGACTGAATCTGAGCCAGGTAGGAGTGCAGAGGTAAAACACAATCCCTGCTCTCAGGGAACTCAAGGAGGATTCCCTCCCTGTTATTAGAATGTGACCCAGTGAGGGTAGGACTGTGTTGAAGGCATAATGGGTGCAAGGTGTCCTAGAAGTCCATTTTCTCTTGCATAGGAAAGACCAAGCAGACAGCTTTGACAGTGAGACTGCAAAGGTGAGACCGTTTGCCTAAGACATGGACTCTTTGACTTTGTCACTCACTCACTCATTCACTCATTAATTCATTCATTCACTTATTCATTCAATCACTCACTCACTTATTCATTAATAAGTTTGCACTGAGGAACTGATCAGTGCCAGAGGGTTACTGGCAAGCTCAATAGCTCAGCATCCAGCAGACCACACAGCCCATCATTGAGAATTATAGCAGGGCATTTATGAGAGCTTAGAGGAAAAAGGGCAGCTGGCCCATAGTTTTGAACCACGTGAGACCAGAAAAGGTTTCATGGAAGACCTGGGATCAAAGCCAAGACATGGAGATTGAATAAGAGTTGGTCCATGAAGGTGAGTTGTGGGGAATCTCAGAGAGAGGGAGAGAGGGAAAGAGGGAGAGAAGGAGAGAGGGAGAGAATTTAAGAAACCTAGTACCCTGGAAAGACAGATAGACAACATATTTAAATACAGGAGTGACAAGAACTTGTGGGAAGTCAGCCACTATGCAGGGAGGAAATTTTGATGCTTAACTTCAGTAGAAAGTCTTCACTTAGGAACAAAGGCCCTGGAAGACTACAGCTGCCCCAGACTCATGTCCTTCTCCAGGCTGGCTGTGGGGAGACCCGCCTGATCTGCCCATCCCTGTGGGAAGTCCATGGCCGACTCCTCCACATCCATCATTCCTGAGCCTTCCTTTAGATGAGCACAGCAGATGTGATGGTGAAATGCTAAGACATGTGGCATCATGTGCACAGGGCAAGAAAGGGAAAAGTCATTTGACTGTTTTATTGTTTTAGTGTGTGGAAGCAATCAAATGGAATTTCCATATTGTTACTTGAGATGAGCATGTCAGCCGCTCATAGATTCAGCAATTTTTATACAAAGGAAACATAAGGAAACACACTTAATCTTCAGTTCACAGTTGGGTAATCTACAACATTATAAGATTAAGGTAATTTATTCAAAGCCAGTCCTTGCTTGGGTGACAGCTATTTCCTGACAGCCTATGGTGAGCCAGGGGTTGGCCATAAATTGGACAAACAAAAAAATTCAGGCTGTTTCAATGGGTGTGTGTGTGTGTGTGTGTGTGTGTGCATGCGTGCATAAGGGGACAATGGAGAGTGACAGAAAGTCACAGGCTCAGTGAGCACAAAAAGGCCTGGTAGAAGGATCCATCAAAAGAGGCAGTGGATGTCACCCTTTTCAGTACACACGTGGCAAAGACCCAAGGAGAACTAGCAGCACTTGGTTCTGTGTACTAGGGTGGGGCGAGCATGGGCAGCTGTCCTCACACATGTGCTATGCTGAGCACAAGATTACAACACTAAAAGGTCAGAGTCATGTATGTGCAAGCCCCTGAACCTAAGTGTTGGCTTTTGTCGCACATTTTTTGTTTTGCTTCAGTGTGTGCTCTTGAGAATTCACAATTATCAGGGGTGCTGGGCACAGGTGTGCAGTTGGGGTAAAAGAAAGAAAAGTGCAGCAAAGGAAACATAGAAATAGAGTTGTGTTTTCTTATGTCATTCTTGGATGGAATCCTTTCTTGTATCCTGAAGAAGGATGGTGGCTGTTCTCATATTGGTAGAGCCAAGCATCATATACTAATACTTTGAGTAATGTCTTTTTTCATTAATTCATTCATTTATACTTCCTGTGACTTACTGAGCATCTACCCCATGTACTGTGCTAAGCAATGGAAATATGATCATTCATAATATAATCCTAAACCCTAAAATGATTAGGGAGGATGGCAGAATTTAATGTGTTACATTTAACTATTTTTGATTAATTTAAAATCAAGGGTCTCAGAATTGAAAGAGGAAAAATCAATGTCTTAGGTTGACCTTGCCTGATGTTTGTATTCTGAAATATTTACTTCTTCACTTCCACTTGGAGAGATGGGTCTCAATCTAGGCACGACAAAGCATGCATCATTGTGGAGATATTACACAAACTGGTATGTTGTGTGTTTTCCATGTCTAGAGATTTGCCATCATGAAGAGTTTTCATATCCCTTAAGATGCATTCCCAAATCTCTGTCCTTTCTCTCTTTTTAAACAACTTTTTCATTGTTTTCTACATATTTTCTATAGCGTTTGAGCATTATCCATACTGTTAGTAGTGTCTTCCAAAAAGCACAATGCACAGTCTAGAAAAGAAAAGCACTCCTAGAGCTTTTTTTCTATGGTGAACAGTACTGATGAATTTCTCATGGTGCCAGGCTCTGTAGGTCATTTTTAACTTTTTTGGAAAAGGTTCCCAGAGTTTCTGTCATATAATTGAATGTTTTGAATACAGAGAACTAGCCTCCGGAGAGATCTCAATGTAAGGATGTTACTGAATAATGCTTTGCCCCTCATTAAAGAAAGTTATTTCTCTGTATTGGATCTTTCCTTTATGATGAATTCTAGATGATGTCTTTCTGTATTTTGTAGATGTGATGATTATATGTCCTTTTAATTTATTTTTTATTTTAAAAATTA